AGGCTGAAGAAAGCAGAAACAAAGAACAAAACACAGACTGATCATTTCAAAGTTACTGTCCTTGTAAGGTCAGGTGACCTGGAAACAGAACAATAGAAAAATAATTTTTTTTTTTTCGTTTTTTTTTTGTCTTTTTTCGTGACCGGCAACGGATCGCAACCCTCAGTGTCGCGCCCATACCGGACCGGGACCGGCCACGGGATCGCATCCCTCGGTGTTGCTCCCACGCCTCGCTCAGCCAGTGAGCGGCCGGTCTGTATGTGGGATCCGAACCCTCGGCGGGAGCGCTGCCACACTTCCCAAGCGGCGCACTATAGCAGTGCGCCACCGGGCTGGCCCTTTTTTTTTTTTTTTAAAGTTGACCGGTAAGGGGATCTTAACCCTTGACTTGGTTTTGTCAGCAACATGCTCTCCCAGTGAGCTAACCGGCCATCCCTATATAGGGATCCGAACCCATGGCCTTGGTGTTATCAGCACCACACTCTCCCAAGTGAGCCACAGGCCGGCTCAGAAAAATAATTTTTAAAATAATTTTAAAATTTCTTTTTAAATTCTTAACTTTATGTAAGGATCAAAGCAGAGGGAACTTCATTTTCATGCCTATTAAAGATTTAAACTGGCCTGTTTGGGAAGTTGGCTGTTATCTTTCTCTACTGATTTCTCAAATAATAACTTATTTAAACTTTAGCAGGGGTGACTCCATTTTTTATTTTCAGTCTGGTCTGTTGGGGCCTAGTGCAGGAACTTAGTCCAAAACAATGGCCTCCTACAACAACTGCCTCTACAAAGTAGTTCCTAATCATTAACTTCTTGGTTCCATATGCTTTTTCTACTCCCATCCATCCACTCTACTGTTTTCCCAACTATTGCCCTATTTGCAAAGTTAGCACATTCCTTACATAAAAGTTGATTCTGCCTTTTCAAGGTGTGTCCAGTCCTTTAACTCTCCAGGATGGGCCTCAAGCTCTTCGTCTGCCCCGAGGCCCAGCACTGGCTGGGAAAGCAGATTTAGCATTTGTTCCATTCACTGTGTGAAGCAAGTTTTATTTTTCTTCCCATCTGCCTGTTGAACATACTGAGGCTCACGGCGGCGGCAGTGTGACTTGCCCAGGGTGAGAGAGCTAACAATTGGCAGGGCCTGGCCTTAAACCTGGAAGTTACTGCCAAATCCTGAGCTCTCTCCATCTGCCTAGTTCCTATAATTTCAGTGCCTGCTGGGCGGAATCTAGAATTGCCTCAACATTTATTTCCCTAAGACCGTGGGAAAAAAAAAAAAAAAAAAGTGCACAATGAACTAGCTACGCCAATCAATGGAAAAATGGCCACCAGCCAAGTCAGCGCCTACAAAGCCACCAGAACTCTGCAAGGGCCACCAAGTGACCCAGAGGGTGACTGGGGCAGGTGAATCCTGCTGTCAGCTGATGGGGCACACAGGAAGCCCAGGTACTCACAGGCAGCAGGTCCCTCTGTGGGGGTCTGGATCAGAGGAGCATCAGAGACAACTCAGCCTCACCCACCCAGTCTGGGCCCAAGTCTCAGACTGCAAGGGACCCGCAGTGACAAAGCGTAAAGCCAGGGTTGGGGTTTATGAGTAGGGGGTCACAGGGATGGAGTGACACCTGTCCATGCCTCCCCAACAAGAGGTTACACCACCCACCCTTTGACATGACAGGTCCACACCTCTGGGTCTTCGCTACCCAAATCCTCCTACCCTCTGGATCTAGACTGAACTCAAGAGACATGTCAAAATGAGGCCTTGTCCTGCTGCCCTCAGCTGAAGGCAGCCCAGAGTGAACACTGCGTTCCTCTCATGACACTTCAGAAGGGTTGGTGCCCACAGGGCTTCCCAGCTGGCAGCTGGCTCAACCTGTGCTGACCTGGACTGGAGCGGGCTGTTTTTGCCTCCCAGGAGCTGAGGAAGCCAAGATGCTCACTGACAACTGGCCTCAAAGGTCATCCTCCAGTGGAGCTGGAAAGTCAACACTTTCTCCCCAGTGGCAAAGGAGGCTGTGGCAGAAGCTGTGGCCTAGGGGTCCCCTGGAGTCGGCTCCCAATCCATAAGCACCCTGCTGGGAGTCACCTTCCAGACTTGGGGTACAGATAAGGAGAAAGATCCCCCATCCCAGGGTGGACACAAACCCAGACCCTAAAAGTCCATGTTACAGTGACCAAGGCTCTGACTTGCCTTCCTGAATAAGTCCAGCAAGCCCTTGGCACTCAATCTGTTCAAGTCAGAAAAGTCTGCTTTTCTTTGGGGGCTACAAATGCAAGCACATTCCTTACTAAGGCTGGGCTTTCTAGCAGCCAAATGAGTGACCGAGTAGCAGGCCCTGCCAGGTAAGGGATGTTTAGAGAAGTCTACTTGCCCAAAGTCTCTAGAAAGACAGCCCCAGAAGCCAAACTCCAGATTACCAGGCCAGACCTGTTCCACCACTCCACTTCCTCCAAAGAGGCCAGATTAGAGAAAAGTGTAAGAACATAAGAGCTGAAGCAGAACCCAATCCAATGTACAGCATGCTTGGTCCCTGGGCTGCTGTGAGAAAATGAACACTTCCCTGCCCTCACTTGGCTCGATGGCTCAGAGGAGGTCTCAGTCCACTACAGATGACCTGGTAAGACCCCACAGGTAAGCAGGGCCTTGGCATAAGGCCTCGCACAGCAGGGCCTCCCTCAACCAGAGCTTGCTGACAGGAACCTGCAACTACACGTCCCTTTCGTTTTCTTTTTCACGCAGTTTTTTATTATGAAATAGTATCTCAGGCACAGAGAAAAGTTCAGAGAGTAACAAAACCAACCCACGTACTCACCTCCCCCAGAGTCAACAGAAGAGACATTTTGCCATATTTGAGACAGGGTTGTCCCTCTCCCTCTTTTTTCTTTTTTTAAAACAAAACCACACACCACAGACAGTTAAAGCCTCTTCCTAATCCTGTTTCTGCCCTGCTTCCCAGGCCGCTAACCTGAGGCCATCACTCGCCACACACTGTATGCTGCCGCCTTCCTCCGCATTTGCTGTCCTCTCAGCACCTGACATCTTACCACACACTCGCTTCGTTGTTCACATCTGTCCTCTCTGGAGAAAGTCTGCTCCCTGAAGGTAGAGGCTGTATTTTGTCCACTGTTGCCTCCCAGGGGACTAGAATGGTACCCAATACAAAGTAGACAACCAACGGTCAGTACTTGTTGACTGAATAACATGCTTATAGTATCATTGTGTTTCTAAAATTGCTATAAATGTTCTTGCCCTGTACGTCTCAATTCTGAAACCTAAACACCGTAGCTGAGATTCAATGACATGGTTCAACACTCAAGTCTCCTACTGTATGACCCACCCACCTGCTAACCAATGACACTTCTTTTTCATCAGGGAGAAGGAGGATCAAAGAAGAGACCACCCAACAAATCAAAGACAGCAGAGAAAGTGGAACTCAAGATTCTAGCCAGCAATTGAGAACCCAAGAACAAACCAGAAGAAAATCAAAGGGCCTCTAAGTAGTTACCACAGAATGGGGGACACTGTGTAGGCACCACCCCCCATCATCCAAGTGTGGGGTCACTAGTCAAAGGAGCAATTACCTGGGCTTTGTCTTTCCATCACTAGCCAAGGACCCTGAGGTGCAGGGAACCCACTCTATCATTCAGCATCACAAGCTTCTCAGCACAGAGCTGGTCGCATGTCTGAGCCCAACTGAGGTGGCAAGGACCCTGCGGTGTACTTTGTAAAAGGCTTTATGAGATCTGCACTGATAGAAGGCAGAGGTAGGGCCTGCCCGAAGAGGGTTCCACTCATACTGGTGAAGGCAAAGAGAGGTCGCAGCATTAGGAGGGCCTGCTCAGGTGTGCCTGCCCAGCTTCCTGTAGGCAGCACTCCTTCGGTTCCTGCTGCCCCTCCCCAAAGCATAGCCCACCACATCAAGATCTCCTTCCCCAAGCAACGAGGCACCTGCACAGGCCCTGCGCCTGAAGGAAGCTGCTCAGGGCAGAGGAAATCGAGGCCACCTGTCCTTAAGGACACAGTTGCATCCCAGGCAGAGAGCCCCAGCTCAGGGTTGGGCATGGGAGGGAGAGCAGGAGAGCTCTGGAACTTCCGGCATGGCTCTTCCCCGCCCCCCCCCCACACTGGCTCCTGCAAAAGGCTCCCAGGCACATCTAATGCAAAGCAGCACCTGCAGTTCTGTGGAGGTTGCAGCCTCCAAGACTCAGGGGGAAGACCTACAACCACCAGTGAAGAGTGCCCAGGCCCCTCACATGTGCTGTGTTTAGGCGACTCAACTCAACTAGATGACATTATTTGGCAAAATAAGATAAATACTCTAATGAACTACTGAGGGGAGTACAGAAAGAGAAACAGGAGGCCTGAAGACCAAGATGTCAAAGGTGGAGGAGAGACAAAAAGGAATGCCAGGCCAAGAGGACAGACAAACACTGCTTGGGAAATGCTGAGTGGCCACGGGTGTTACAGGGAAACCAGAGGAGGCTGGACAAGGCAGGATGGCCCAGGCAGAGCTATACACACCAGGTAAAGAAGTGGGATCTTTTGCAGGTGATGTGGAACCATGCCATGAAAGGTGTGCAAGAGGAGTGAAAAGACATGACATGAGCATTAGAAAGAAAAAGGGCCGAGCCCGTGGCGCACTCAGGAGAGTGCGGTGCTGGGAGTGCAGCAGCGCTCCCGCCGCAGGTTCGGATCCTATATAGGGATGACCGGTGCGCTCACAGCGCTCACTGGATGAGCGCAGTGTGGCCGGTCTCAAAAAGGACAAAAAAAAAAAGAAAGAAAAGGCTGGTGGCTAAGGAAGAGCCAGATAGCAAATGGGGAAAGGATGCAGAGAGGCCCCCCACTAGTGGGAAGGTTGAGATTTTCAGGTCTGAACAAGGCAGCCATGCTGGGGAGAGGAAGAAGGGTCAAGAGTCAGAACACAGAGCTGGGAGGACAAAGAGACCTGGAGAGCAATGGGTGTTGGGGGAGAGAGCAGGGCGAGAGCCACCCATAGCATTACCTGTGCTTCTCGCCTTCTTCCTCCTCTTCTCTCAGCTGCTTGGTCTTTGGCTCCCCATCTTCCTTGTCCTACAGAGAAAGGGAGAAAACCACCTGCTCAGATGAACACTCCTACTTCCAGCTCACACCACCCAGGGAGGTGATGAAGAACAAGACATCTCAGGAGCCAGCCCCCCTGCCAAGGACAAGCCTGGGGTTCCGGCTTCCAAGTAGGACACATGCCTGCTGCACCTGACAGGATGAACACCGGAGTCTCATCCCCACCCTTTACTGCCCGGGCAGAATTTAAACATCCATGGCCCCAGCCCAGTCCCAGGCACATGGTAGCCCTCAGAGAACATGAATAGGAGGAGCTAGAAGGTTTTAGGTGGTGAGAAATGGAGCTGGTCAAGTGCCATGGAGGGCCCACGCTGGCAGGCCACCAGCCACATTCATGAATCTGGATGGAATGACTTGCTGAGCTGGGAGAGACTGGGGTTAAGAAGAGCCACCAGCAACCAGAGCCAGATGAGAGCTCAGGCCTGCTGACTCCCCTTCCAGGCCACAGGTCTCTCCAGAAATACCTATTTGGTTTCCTTTAGCAGTAACATAACTCAAACTAAGACCAGGCTTGTAACAGGACTCATTGCCTGTAGAGGATTCTTAAAGCAAATGTACTTCACAGGGCCTGGTTTTCCAAAGCCTTGCAGTTTCAAATACTGACCTTGCAGAGGACTGGAAATTTTCCTCAGGCTATAAAGTCTCTGGTGTAAGATAAAGATTTGTGGCACAGCAAGGTTGCTGGCTCAAAGACAGACTAGTTACTGGTTGATATGTAAAGATACTGGAAAAAGCTGGAGGGAGAAGGAATGTTTGCAAGATCAAGCTTTTGTTGACAGGACCACTTAATTGTCTAATGGAATGTCATCTGACTTGTTTCACTGAAAGTTACCAGCCTATATTGTTAAACTATAACTCCACCTATGTTCTCGTCCTGTAACTTCCTGGTCTGAAAAATAAATGCAGAAAGAGAACCCTAATTCGGAATTAACTTCCCAAGGAAGGTATGCCTCTCGCTTGAGGGTTCCGGGGGAGATTAACCACTTTGGGGTCTCTCACTGCTCAGAAGAGATGGGCTTTGAGTAATCCTTTGCAGCTCCATCACCCAGGGGAAGTGGGGTGACAAATCCGTGGGGGGCAAAGCAACAACTGCCCAGGACGGCAATGTATTTAGGGAGACAGAGGCAAGGGGAATTAGTTTGAAGTTTCTATGGGAAAATTTCTTCTAAATCTGGTTCTTTTGACTTCCCCCACCTGCCACCTTTTCTTCAAGTCTAGAAAAGTCATGCTCATCTCAACCTCGACATAGTACACTTGTTCTTCTGGTGCACTGAGGGCCACACAGATGGAAACTGTCATGCTGTTCCCACCTGCAGCAGAAAAGGCCTTCTCCCTTACTAAGTTATTACCACTCAGCCTGCCCTGTGGACAAACTGACATGCAGGGCATGTGCGTGCATGTGCATACGCCTCGGGCCCAGTGCAGGGACTGAGAGGCTCCAGGACAGGGCCCCTGTCGTGGGTCTCCCTGGAGGCTGGGGTTGGCCCTCCAGAAGGTGTCAATGCTCACTTCATTACCAACAGCAGCCTGCCTCTGACTCACTGGAGAAGTGTTCTGAGAGATACCGTAAGCCCGCTCCATAGGGAACCTGCCGTGATGGGCTTAAGAATGAGCTGGAGCTGACATATAAATCATAAGTAAAATAGCTGCTTGGACTACCTCCCCTAGAAGTTTGTTTATGTCATTGATAACTGCCTCCCCAGGAGTGGCATGTGCTCTACAAGTCACTTCCTGCCAGTGTCCATCATGGAAACCCTGAAGGCAACAACCAGACCCTGCCATTCCTTGGCCACACAACCTATGGGGGAGGAGACTGCCAAAATCAGGCTGGAGGCCTGGCCCAGAGAAGGGCTCCTATAACATGAACAGATCAAGATGCTCCCCTCCCACTCTCAACCCAGGGTGGCTCAGTCTCAAGGGGACGAGGCAGCAGGAACATAATAACTGACTAAGTGACAGCCGCTACATTAGAGAGGTCAACATGGTTCTCAGGGGATGGGTGAGGGATGAGCAGAATGTGGGTGTTACAGGAAGCAGAGACAGGAGTAGGAAGGGCATTTCCGGTGGGAGCACAGCTTGAGCAAAGGCAGGGTGTGGTCTGAAGAACGTACAGGTGGCAGGAGTAGCAGCGGGGTGAAGGTGATGCCAGGTAAGGTTGTCAAGGCAGGTGGGGGCTGATCACGAAGGGCTGGCCAGTGTTCTAAGGCAACAAGAGCCACAGGGGAGGCTGTGGAGAGCCTGCAGACCTCTGCCAGGCAAGGCAGCCCTGGGGCAGAGAGGCAGATGCTTGGAGATGGCCAGAGGGAAGGGAGAGCAGAGTACAAAAGTTGGGGTACTCCAAATGGCTCCTAGGGCTGCAGGACCTGGATGGGGTTTCCACAGATGCCCAGCTGACACATGCACCCCTCCCTGACTAAAGGTTGGCAGATGAAGCAAGCCAGAAGCCTGGACATTCAAACACAAAGTTCCTGAAGGCAAAAGGTGTCTGCTTCAGGGGAAGGGGATGGTGGACGCCTGCACTTAGAGAGTAAGGACAGAGGCAGAAGAGGAGAAAGGGCTCAGCCTTCCCCAAAGTGGGCTGGTGGGGTAAGGCCCCCAACCCCAGGAGAAGACTTCTTTCCACAGGGACTCCATTTATCTGAACCACCTCGCAGAAGATGGCAGGAACTGCTGGGAAGGGATTACCCTTTGGAAGTAGTGCTTTGCAAATACCATGCCCTTTCCCAGCCCTCCAGCAATGACAAACTGCTGCCACCACCCTTCTGGAGTCCCAGAGACACTCAAGTGCTTTGACAAAGGCCAAGTTATTCATTAATAAGTGAGAAAACACCCAACTATCTAAATGACATTTTAAAAAAAATACCCAGCAGTCTGGTGGGTGGGGTGCAGCACTAGCTTCGCAGACAGCTTGAAGTTACAGATGCCCCCAGCCTGGGCTGCTGTGCACAAAGCAGGGGCTCAAAAACAGAAGAAACACAACTGTAGCTGGAGCAGGTGGACAAATGAACAGGACATACGAGTGGGGACAGAGTATACTCCAGTCTTCATGTTAAATAGTGATTCACAGATAGGACAATGAGCATTCAGGAGAAGGAAACTCACTTTTGGGTGATCCTGGTCTAGGTCACAATGCATGACCCCCATTGCCTGGGATGGTGGAAGGAGCTGCAGACCATCTTGGAAGCCTGCCTCTACAGCCTGAGACTCAAAGAGCCTCAGAACTGGAGGGCTCAGGCTCCCAGGATTGCACATTCTCATCTTCTGGAGCACCTCAGGCCCAGCGCTGGGCTAGACAACTTTCATCAGTCCTTGCCAACTTATCTACGGCTCTCTCCACCAAACTCTCAGGAACGGCCCACTGCCTGCTCCTGGCAGGACTCCCACATTCTGACCCAGCCCCAGTCTCCAGGCCTTGCACCCCTGCCCTCACTTCTCCCCAGAGTCTGCAGGAGGAAGGAGCCTCTAAGGCAGAACTTCAGGATGTCACAAAAACAACCCTGTCCAAAACAGGGCCTGACGGACCTGTTTCTTAATGTTTGAAATCCTTTTACTAGGGACAAAATTTTACTAATAAAAAGAGTTGTGCAGGATTAGTATTATTTCTACCTTAAATGTTTAATAAGACTTCAGTGAAGCAATCTTGGCCTTAAGATTTCTTTGTGAGAAGATTTTAGATATAGGACTACATAGAATTTCTATTTCTTCTTGAGTCAGTATTGCTAATTTGTGTCTTTCAAAGAATATTTACTGGCATAAAGTGGCTTATAATATTCCCTTTTATCTTTTTAATGTCGGTAAAATCTGTGGTGATATCCACTGATACTGATAATTTGTGTCTTTTCTCTTTATCGGACCACCTACAGGTTTGTCGATTTCAGGATGTGCCTCCAACTCCCCTCCTCAGACTTGGTGTTTTTGTTTTGTTTTGTTTTGTTTTTAAAAGATGACCAGTAAGGGGATCTTAACCCTTGATTTGGTGTTGTCAGCACCACGCTCACCCAGTGAGCTAACCGGCCATCCCTATATAGGGATCCGAACCCATGGCCTTGGTGTTATCAGCACCACACTATCCCAAGTAAGCCACAGGCTGGTGTTTGAATGATGGGTTTTCTCCTCAGTCTCCTGTTTCTGGAAGGAGCCTTCACTGAGCACACCTGCCTCTTGACAGCACATGAAGCATTGTGCAGCACCAATCCATACTGCTGCCTGAATGTAGGACCACTATTAGAAGTTCAGTCAACAACCAAACATGCAGGAGAGGGAGGGAGAAGGGAGGTGGCTGTGTCCCTCCTGTTGTCCTTTCCCACCCAGATTAAGATTAGGGTCCCTCTTCCCTTGCCCCGCCCCCCCCCCCCAGTCCCCTTTGTGTGCTGGGTCTGCCTTGGGCACAGAAATAAAGGAAACAAGAACCCTACCCTTAAGAATCTCAAGTCTACTCAAAGGAGCAGACTTAGAGGATGTAACTCTGCACCATGAGTGGTAAGGAAAGCTCCGTTAGATGTTCTGTGCACTTAGGGGACTGACAAGGAATATATGTTATCAGGGAAAGAGTTAACACTTAAACTCAATTCCAAAGGTCCAATGGGGTGTTATCAGGTGGCTGGAGAAGGCAGAACACTCCTGGGAGTGCTAACTGCTTGGCAAGGACATGAGAGCAGAGCGAGAGCACCCTCCTCACCTGCAGAGCAGACCCACATGGCTAGCCCAGCCTCGACTGATGAGGTCAGAAGGGGCCGAGAGGGCCTTCCTCGCCTTCCTCCTGTCCTGTGGGAGGGCTGAGCCCAGCGTGAGGGCCGACACTGAGAGGGCACTCTGGCAGCCTACAAAATGAGTTGTGGGGAGGAGGGGAGAGACCAGAAGTCAGACGTGATGCTCCATTCCCAGCCTGGACCTGCCCCAGCCTGCTGCTGTTCGCACGTATGTGTTTGGGAGGGTAGTTAAGGTTAAAATGAGGGCTGGAACTGTCATCA